CAATAGGGAAATAATTTCCTCAGTACATGGTACTGGGAAAACTGGACAGCTACATACAAACAAAGGAAACTGAACCACTTTTTTACTGTATGTAAAAAATGCACTAAAAATTGATTAAATATTCAAATGTAAGTCCTGAAGCCTGGAAGTTTTCTAGAAGAAAATAGGCACTAAATTCTTTGACATCAATCTGGAGTGACATTTTTTGGTTCTGTCTCCCAATGCAAGGGCAAGAAAAGCAAAAGTAAAGCAGTGGGTCTATGTCAGCTAAAAAGCTTTTGCACAGTAAAGAAAGCCATTAACTAAATGAAAAGTGACTTACTGAATGGAAGAGGACATTTGCAAATGATATATCCAATGAAGGGTTAACATCCAAAATATATAAAGAACTCCTGTAACTCAATATTGAAAGAACAAACAATCCAATTAAAAATGGACAGAGGACCTGAATAGACTGATTTTCCAAAGAAGACTTACAGATGGCCAACAGGCCCATGAAAAGATGCTCAACAACACTAACCATCAAGGAAATGCAAATCAAAACTGCAATGAGATACCACTTCATATCTCTCAGAATGGCTATTATCAAAAAGACACAAAAGAACAAATGTTGGCAAAGATGTGGAGGAAAGGGAACCCTCATGCACTGCTATTAAGAATATAAATTGGGGGGCACCTGGGTGGCTCAGTGGGTTAAGCCTCTGCCTTGCTCAGCTTGTGATCTCGGGGTCTTGGGATTGAGCCCTGTATCAGGCTCTCTGCTTACCAGGGAGCCTGCTTCCCCCCCTCTCTCTGACTGCCTCTCTGCCTCTCTGTCTGTCAAATAAATAATAAAATAATTAAATAAATAATTAAATAAATAATTAAATAATAAAATCTTAAATTGGTACAGTCACAAAGGAAAGCAGTATGGAAGTTCCTCAAAAAATTAAAAGTAAAACTACTATACAATCTAGAATTCTTTTGTATGTATTTATCCAAAGAAAATGAGAACACTAATTTGAAAAGATATATGCACCCCTATGTTCATCACAGCATTATTGACAATAGCTGAGATGTGGAAGCAACCTAAATATCCATGAGTAGATGAATGGATAAATAAGATGTCTTGTGTATACCCGTGTGCAGACATGCATACACACTGGAACATTACTTGGTCATAAAAAGATGAAATCTTGCCCTTGGAGACAACATGGATGGACCCAGCGGACATTATGCTATATGAAATAAGTCAGGCAGAGAAAGACAAGTGCCATATGATTTTACTTAAATGAGGAATTTACAAAACAGGAACAGTGCTTGGATGTCCAGAGAGCAAACTGATGCAAGAGAGGAGGGGGGATCAGGATGGACAAAATAGGTGAAAGGGGTTAAGAAGTAAGATCTTCCAGTGATAAGACAAGTAAGATGTGGAAATGAGATGTATAGCACAGGGAATATAGTAAAAAAAATATTGTGGGGCACCTGGGTGGCTCAGTGGGTTAAAGCCTCTGCCTTCAGCTCAGGTCATGATCTCAGGGTCCTGCGATCAAGCCCCGCATGGGGCTCTCTGCTCAGTGGGGAACCTGCTTCCTCCTCTCTCTCTCTCTCTCTCTCTCTCTGCCTGCCTCTCTGCCTACTTGTGATCTCTGTCTGTCAAATAAATAAATAAAATCTTAAAAAAATATATTGTAACAGTTTTGTATGCTGGCAGATGGTAACTAGACTTACTTGGTGACCCTTTTGTAATATGTATAAGCATAGAATCACTGTGTTGTGTACCTAAAACTGATACAGTGTTGTATGTCAATTATCCTTAAATAAAAAATAAAAATTAAAACCAACCACCCCCACAAAAGTATACATATAAAATCTTACTGGTACAGTTTGTTATGATTGTATATAATTGTAGTATTTGTCTCTTCCTTTACATTTTCTACATGCTATCAGAGGAGAAGAGGCCCTCTTCCTTTTAATGGTGAACGCATGTACCAGGGAATTGTATCCCTATGTCTTCACCATACACAAGACCTATCTTTGTCTACCATTGTCGCCTTCCCCTATATTTCGAGTATCACTCTACTGCTTCCTTCCTCCCTTGCATGTATGCTTACATGTAACAAAACCCCAAATCCTTCTTGCCCTAATTTTTCCACCCATTTCCTCGAAGAACTCCTTAACACCTAACGTAAGGGCCGATTTAGCCAGAGTGATTCCATCTGGTTAAACAGTGATTTTGTTGTTTATGCAGTAAAACTTAAACTGTCCCTGTGCCCCCCTCCCCCACCAGGGGACTTACTTAAAAATAAGTCCCGGAAACCAGTCCCAGGTAACAAAACCCAAATACAAGGGTGGGTCAGGCCAGGTGGAGGTATCCAATCAGTGGGGGCGCATACTGTCTCCCTAGCTACCAAGGAGTATGGGCCCTGCCCTTTGGGCACCTTTTGGGCGCCAATTCTGACCAAGGTAATAGGCTGGTTCAAATGTCTACTAGGGTAAATTATAACTCAATTAGTCACTTATGTGTGACCTAACATGACTGCGCAGCTTTCTCTGTGTTACAATCTCATTGGCCACCTGTGCATGGCCAGGCCCAACCATATGGCCTTTGCCCTTAAAAGCTAATCTGTAAGGCAGAGAGAGGTCACCTCTTTATAAGGGGCGGCTCTGGCCTGTCAGTTTGATTCTCCATGCTTGGCACAAAATAAAGCTTTGCTTGACCTTCGCTTTATATCAGTCTCGCTCCTTTGATTACGGACCCAACACTATCACTTCATTATTCACTCATTCCTTAATCCCTCACAATTGACTTCCATCCCCATTTAGATGAAACTCATCTTTCAAAGCTCATGTGATACGGGATACTATGTACTTTATAAATCTTTGTTGAATTAATAAAGTGAATACGAGACTTTCTCATCACCAAATCAGTGATCTTTAATCAGTTTTTCTCTTCCTCAATACATGGTTAGTCAGGCCCATGACTCTGTCCCTGTTGTCTTTAACAGAATTCTGGTTCTTTTGTTCTGATGTTTCTCGTGTGATGCTTGACTGGCCACTTTTTTGGAAGCAGTGTTCCACTTGTTTATGGGTTGTGGTGCAGGACAAACTTAGGGTTCCAATCAGGTCCTTGATATTTCAGAGCTGTTAAAACTTAAGACAAAGTGCCCTTTCTTCATCCATAGAAAGGAGGTGATAATAGTGTTGTTCTAAAGGTTGATGTGACACATTAAGCCCTGGCAAAGACCTTTAATGTTAGTATTTGCATTCCAGTAGCTGTAAGGTCATTAAGGGCAGTCTCCATGCCATTTTCCCCCCTCCTATTCTTTCTGTCCTCAAAACCAGCAGTGCTGAGCTTGGGGTCCTTGAAAACTATTAGTTGTGAATGAGTGAGCAAATGCATTGTTTCCCTTCTCTTACTGGATGATCCTTCCCAAAGGCGTGGCTTTAGTTTCCCTCACCCTTTCCCTTCCTGACCTCATTTAATCCCTGAGGACCTCATTCATATTTTCTATCCATCTTCATGTAGATCACTACCAAGTCTAAACTGAAATCAGATTCAGCTCATTGTGACCTCAGATCCAGATTTCCTATCTTTAAGATAACTCCCAAAATAACATCCTCAAGACATCTCTTTGAAACCTTAAATACCTATGTTTAAAAAAGAACAAGTCTTCTTTCCTTCTCTTATTTTTCACTCATATATATTCATTATATATTTACAGTTATATATATTTATTATACATGTGCATACAATGGCCTTCTATATGAAAATATAGACCTGACCTATATATTTAATTTATATATACACATATAAAATATATGTATTATATATTTGTAATAACCTCCAAAGAATTCTACTTGCTTATTTGTTTATAAGCTCTAAGATAATGCCCTCTGCAAAATACTGTTCATCCTAGTTTTTGCCTTTAGTTATTAGCTACCTGTTCCATTGAAGCCAAAAGCAATAATATTGTTAATTTTTAAAAGACCAGATTCTTTAGCCTGCTAGTGATTTGACCCTTATTTTAACAGAAGACTTTATTTTTTGTAAACAATTATCTATTTATTATGCAAGCAACATGTAGATACATTTTTATTGTAAAAAAAAAAAAAGTAACACGGAAGTGTAAAATTAAAAGCAAAATCCCCACTCCACCACTGACATCTGCTTCATTCTTACTATTCTTTACAGAGATGATTTCTATTATCAGTTAAGGATAACTCTTTTACAGACATTTTACCTACATTAATGAACACATGCATGTTTGATTTTTACTTTATGTGAGTGCACATTACTGTATTTATTAATGTGAAGCTGGACTTTTCCCCTTATTAATATGTCTTGGAGGAATGCCCATTTAGATCTGCCTCTTCCTTGAGATCTACTGCATAGTATTGCCTTCTCCAGAAGCACCATAACATATTTACTCAGATTTTATTGATGAATCCTTAAAAGCTACCTTGCTATTTATTTCCCATCCCTCTTGTATGCATAATCTTTTAACTGAATGAGAAAACACATTTCACACTTTTCTCTGTTGGTCTCTTTGTGCATGCCATTTTTTGCTATTCCTTTTAGTGAAACTTCTACTTGGGCTGCAAAACCCAGTTCACATGTGAACTTACATTTGGAGTCCTCTTTGCTAACTCAGTCTTAAAATGATATCTTTAAGAGAGTCCCCAATTTTGAGGACAGACACTGAGATTGTTATATTCCCACAAGACTAAACACAGCATCCTATGTGTGGTAGATTCTGAATGCTTGTATTGCATAAACAAATACAGGATTTTTAACTTTTCTGATCTGACATGTATGCATAGATAGGCTATAAGCACCTTCAAGGTAAAAGCATATCTCAGCGTGCCTTGACTAATGCAGATATTTGATGATTTGCATGTCAGGGCTATATCAGCTATATTGTGGACATGGGCAAAGATGGGGTTCTTCCCGTATCATGTATCAACAGTACCCACCAGTCAGTATAGGAAGTTATTATAAGAAATAGGGATGAACCTACCAGGATCTCCAAGAGGATTTTGAATTGAGCTGGATAAACCTAAGGGAAAAGAAATTAAAAAGGATTATTCACATGGATATCCATTATTTTTGTTGTTGTTGTTTTGCTTTGTTTTTGCGTTTCCAAAAATCCCTTCCCCCTTTTTTTCAGCAAAGAGAACCCCGCTTTTCAGGACCTACAACCTGTAGTTTGAGTGGAATGGCCTTGTCCACCCCTGCTCTTGCACAGTGACATGGGAACCCACGTTTTCTGTTGGCTAGCCACCACGCAGTTTGTTGTGGAATGGTTACGAGTGTCAGGTTGTACCAATGAGGATGTCCCCTGTGACTTGAGATGAGCATGCTGGGAGTAGAGGGTTCTCTCCTCTTTTATGAGGTGGAAAGATAATGTAGGCCTTCAACTGACAGAAGCCCACTTTCCCGCCATGGATAAGTCAGAGTAAAGCCTAAATCAGGGCCAAACAGCTGAGAAAAGAAGGTATAAGCAGGACACTTAATTCATCATTTGGATCTCTTGATTTACTTATTCCTGCAGCTGGTCTACTCCCGGACATCCTAGATAAGTGAATCTCCAAATTCCCTTTACCTAAGCTAGAGGAATTTTATATCTATAATGGAGAAAGACTCAGAAAATGACATAGAAGGTTTAATTAATTTTAAATATTTCTTCTGACTCTATTTTCTTCCCATCTCTTTTTAGAGGATGTATGGTGATGAAATTCTCTAAATTTAATTGTTTAGTCTCTGCTTTCTAACTCCCAAAATGTTCACAGAATGGAAATGTTTAATTTTGTGAAGGTATGCCAAAAATGATCTACAAAAATGGCTTAAAATTGGAGGCTGGATCTTATGCTAAAATGACTGGTTAGAAATCAAGAAACCGAAATGTGGTTTCTGCTGACCTGGTCTTTTATCCGTTTTATTCAATTTTCAACAGTGAGAAGAGTAGACAGGAACTTACATATATTGACTACCTACTCAATTCTACTATTTGATGCAATTTACCCCTTTCCTGTAAACATTATTATTCTGACTTAAAAAATTGTTTAAAAAATGCTTAAAAAAATCCAAATGATTTTCAGAGTTCTAGTCTTGCCTGATGTTCCCTATCTGGTTAAGTTTAATAGATTTTAAGATGAGAATCCAGTTGTCTTCTAAACTGTCTTCTCTACCATCTGGAATGCCATGAAATTAGGGTGGATATTGACTCTGTTCTCTGTTCTTAAAGCACATTTCCAACTTTTAGTCAACTGTCTTGACATTCATGGCTTGGTATTATTGTTTTGGGGAAATAGCAGTCATTTTGGGGGGTGAAGTATATTGCTATAGGGAGAGTACAAAATTTGAATTTAGAGAAGTGAATTCAAGTCCTGTGATTTTTCCCACTACAGAGCACTGTGATTATGTGGCTCAAGCTTTCCAAATCTTAGTTTCCTCTTCCATCAAGGAAAAGATAATGGCCAATCATCTGTCAGTTCTGTCAGGACCTTTCTACTGGCAAATGCTTCCCTAGAATGCTGCACTTCTCCTATTAAAGATTGGATCAGCCAATGATTTGCTAGATGCAGTAATGTCTTGTTCAATTCAATATTTCCCAACAGTAAGCCCAGGGTATGGCAAGTAGTAGATGACCAATAAGTATTTGTTGAATAAATAGATTAGGAAATGAAGTCTACTCACTTTTGTGTGCAGAATATTAATTTTTATTTTGATCCCCCCCACGGTTGACCAAAAGAATGATATTTGAAGTGCTTCCAATTTTGCAGGTGAGAAGTAAAAATAGGTTAATGATAGGTTTGAGTACTACAGTGTGCTATACATCAGCATAGATTTTAAAGAGGACTTTCTTTTAATTGAAAGCTCAGTATAAGCCAAGAGCTAACTCAAATTTTTAAAATAAAAGATGCATTTTAAAGTGTAAAATGGTCATTTTAGGTGGCCATTGTAATTCAGCTCTTAAGGCTTGGTAACTTAGCCATCCTGGTGAACCTTCTGTGTGAATGAAGCCTTCCTTAATCGGCTTTTCCTATATTATTTCATCCTGGGAAAGAAAAGCAGTAGCTAAGCCAGAAGCAAGCAGGATAACAGAAAAAGGAGTCTGTGGCCAAAACAACAGAATTACTTTTTTTTTTTTTTTTAATTCTTTCACTTGTGTTTGTGAAGGAGAAGGAAGAAACATAATTTTTTGGTCTTTGTTTAGACATTGAACAATACAAATCACAAGAACATATATTTTTGACATACTATTTTTTTTTTTTTGGTGTTCTTTGGAATTTGGACCCTAATTAAAAAATATGTGTTTCCTAGCCCTTCTTACTGTGAAAATTCTTGGCAATATAAACAGATGCACTGGTTGGCTTTTAATTCTGACACCAGACTGTCTGAAATAATAGCTCTAAGAAAGTGTGAATTCTTTCATTCCTCAAGCTTTAATTATAAGTACTTAATTTGTTTGTCTTTCTATTGCTGACGGTCATACCAATCTGGTTTATCTTTCATCTGGCTAAACATGGTACACCTCAGAAGCCCCTCACTTTGTAAAGTTTATTGTGCATGGGAAGATGGAAACAAGCTAAGAGTTTGAGCTATTTTCATCCTCCAGGGCAATTTACCAATTAGGATATTAAGTGGTGTTCTGAATTTTCAGTCATAGAGGCCTGGAAGATGACTGAATTAGGATCTTGATAAGCAGTTTGGAAACACTAAATATTTCTCATGGAAGTTTGAAAAATGAGCCAAGTTAATAGCTTACTAACTCATCTTGACCCTTCACAGCTAAAGACGTTCTTCATTTTTTCCGTGTCCACCATTTTTTACACTTCGAAACCAATGCACTGTCATAACGGTTGTAGCCACGGGACTGTCCTGGTATTGACTGCTGTAATCGGATGATGTACCACAACATGGCGCGTTAGAGGAAAACGTCAGTAGTTGCTGGGAGTGGGGATATTTTGGAAATACTGCTTAGTCTGGTCTTCCTGAGTACTGTCATATTCCACTTTTGAAAACTTGATTGCGGGGAGAGGTGTTTTTTTTTTCTAAGGGCAAAAATAAAATCGAAGAAAGGTAAATCACTGCTGGAACTCGTGACGAACAAAAGGAAGAAAGGCTCATGCTCTTCATCTAATCGGTGTCTTTCCAAGTCTTTCTCTGTATATACATTTACATTTTGAGATGCTTTCCACCACTATTGCAGAGCCCAATATGAAAGTTGTTTATATCCCCTTTGTAAATATGACTAAAATGTATTAGAGGTCACAAAGCCCTTTATGTTTTTTATTTCGGTCCCCATAACAGTCCCCTAAGTAGTTATTATTATTACCATCCTCATTTCAGAGATGAACCTTTTGAGATTCAGTGTGGCTAACTAACATACCAGAGTTCCCAGAAGCTGTGGGGGCTGGGATTTGAACCTGGAAGGGCCAGAATATTTAATCATGTCCCTGCTGCTGCTGGACATTAAGATACGAAATGCTTTACACACATGATCTCATTTAATCCTTCCTAAAAACTATCAACATGGGGAACACATACCCATTTTACAGATGGAGAAACTGAAATTTTGCCTAAGTCATTTGCCCCAGCTCACTCGGTTTGTAAGCAGCGGCCATGGGTTTAGAGCTGAGGTTTTTCTGATTCCAATAACCTGGTGCTCAAAACCTTCATTCTAAACTGCATGATAACTTTTGTTTAGGCCTTTAGAGTTTTCTTACCTAAATCTAGTAGATAGAAAAAAGAAAATGCCTTCAGTGTGCAATGACTGAATAAATTAAGATGCCAGTAAGACTTGAAATAAGAGTAAGAGTCAATGATGCATGTTCCTGTTTCTGCCATTTTTCTAACAGTGATGAAAAAGAGTGTTGGGGGATATGTTTCTCCTTTATACTCTTGAAGAGAGAGTAACATCTCTTCAGGAACCATAGGAAAAATACCTGGGGACACTCTCTTGCTCTTTTTGCAGAAATGTCCACATTTTACTTTTTTCCCCATAAACAGAAAATTTGTTTATGTGGAATTCGATTTTTGAGGATGTGAAATTTCAGTATCCCTTGGGTTCCATGACCATGCTTTGGGGCAATAATTTGGACAGCAATGACAGCTTCGAAGTTGTTTCCTGTTTTTCTTGGTCTCATTGCAGTCCTTGCCAGACCTTCCCTCCTTCACTGCTGCTGCATTAGTAATGCAAAATGAAATTCATTGTGCCCATTATATCTGTTAAATGGTTTCCATTTTAACTTGAGAAAAATGTATTGACGTTCATGTGTTTGGCATGGAAAATGTGTATATCTATCGAAGATAGCAACTTGTCTGTTGGAATTACAGTGCATTATGTATAATGCTGCTTTTAGCTGTGCATGTACATTTCCTGGAATCTTATTGTGTCAGAGCTTGGAAAGTTTACACAAGCATTGGTAATCTAATTTTTGTCTGGTGGGTGGCTGTGGAAATATGGAGTATTTGAAAAAGCAAATGTCTTGGCCATCTGTGCCAGGGAGTGGATTGGTGGCAGGGGTGTCTGGTCAGGTGGGGTAAAAAAAATCCATCAAAAATAAAGGTTTTAAAAATATTGCCCCAGGCCTAACCTAAATATTAATTTGCCCAGGAGTTGAAGGATAGAACAGTTATCGTGACACGGTTTTTAGCACATGTGTGGTTATTATTTTTAGGAGTTTTCATTGTAAGGTTGAATCTGTTTTATCTTTCTCCTGTGTCTTAATGATAATCCTTCTCTAGACGACATTGCTTCTGATGTCTTTTGTCTTCTGCAGACATGAGTCTTTGGCTCATGAGCATCTTGTTAAGGTCTGTTGAGGATTAGGGTCTGTGACACAATTTTCTTGCTGAGTCTTTTTATTGGGGATTTTTCAGTTGGTTTGTCTTGGAGGTCTTTGAAATGTCTCCTATCAAGCAATGATTTTCATTTTTCTTTGTTCTCCTCAAAATTGGGGTTGTATTCTGCTCAACTGTTCCTGGGGTCTAGGTAATGAATTGTATTATTTAATAGGCAAGTGTGAAATTCTTTTGTGTGGTGGCTGTACTGAGCTCTGCCTCTCAGAGTTGCTAAATCCTACTCACTGCACTACTGCTGAACTGTGATGTAGTTTTGTTTTTTCGCTTTAAGTGCATTTCAGTCATCCATATAAAGCAGGCTTTCTTAACTTCAGCGCTATTGTGACTTGACGCTGGATAATTCTTTGTTGTGGGGGCTGCTCTGGGCGTGCGGGCTGTGTAGCAAGCAGCATCCCTGGTATACCTACCAGAGGCCAGGAGCACCTTTCCCCAGTGTCTTCAGGTATTTCTAATGTCCCCTGGGTGGGGGAGGTGTGAATCACCCCGTTTGAGAATCACTGATCTAAAGCAAGGTTGAAAGACAAGGCTGGCGTGATGTAAAGGAATTTCCATAAAAAGCACTGAATTCAAGCAATGCAATGACAATGCTGTGAGAGCTTTGTATCTGGGAGGATATGTGGAGGAACTGTATCACACAACCCTGGAGAAAATACTGTAATAATTGTCTATAGTTTCTTAGACTGAGTAACAGAGGAGGTAAGGGTCACCTTTTAACTGCTTTGCTTCTGATCTGCTAATTATCTCCTCACCCTGTGATGCCTTTTATCTCTCCTCTCTGCAACTTGACTCACATAAGGAAGATTCTAATTCTTCTCAGATTTTCCACCTTAGCTACTTTTCTACCCTAACCTCCCTGCTCTTCCGTTTCCCCCCCTGGTTTTCTTTGGCTCAAATGGGAACATGGTACCCATTTATTTCTTTAATCCACTTCACCACCTAATAATACACCTCTTTGGAGGACGAATTTTAACAAGATGCTTTCTACTCTGTGATGCACTCCGGTAGAGAATTAACGTTTACCGTGATGAGTACCTTCTCTTCCTCCTGAAAAGCAGGGATGCCACTGACCACTGCAGTGTAGACTTAAACATTTAACTTTCGTTTAACTTTTTCTCAGTGCCTCCTTGAGCATTACATCTGTTAAATTTAAGGGCAATCTTATGGGCCTGTCAAAAGGGCATCTGTGTGCTATTCAAATAGCAATTAAGATAACATGCAAATGAATGAAGTGATCAGACTCATCTGATAATAATATTGAGATAATTCTTTATTTTTTTAAATGCTGAGAAAGCTAGGGAGGTATGCTAAAAAATCTATTTGATCAATATATGGGATGTAAAAAGACAGGATTGACTGATGAATAAAATGAAACTGACACAAACAGGCTGGCAGCCAGCTGTAAGTCTCTTCAGGGCAAATGCAATTAACTTAGAATAATAGACTCAAAGTTGATGGTTAGAAATGCATTTTTATTAACAATCACAGCCTGAATCATTATGCTCTTATGAATAAGATGCTACTTATATTTTGTGCATGTGTGTGCATGCATATATAAATACATATACATATGTCTCTGTACGTATATATCCATGCCGCTCACATTCCTATGTGCTCTGCTTACCATTTGGGTGGAAAAGTTGATTTTTAGAATAATGTACTTTAAAAAGGAAATTCATTCATAAATTGTCTCCAGGTCTATAAATTCCGAATATTCTCCCAAATTACATATATAAAAATCATGCTACTTATCTGGTGCTATTAGACATAAAGCCAGTGAGCCCTGGTCCCAGAACTGCTGGTCCTTTGGGGATTTGGAATTGCAATCAGGGATTTACAGATTTCATTTTGAAGAGGAGAAGTCATTACTAGAAACCTAAGCTCATTTCCTCTCCTTTAATAGCTATTTTAAATCATTCATTTAGAAAATACATTAACTATTTAGGGTACTTGCAATGCATTTCTTTTGGCATTAGGTCTGTATTTTTATAAGAATTTTTTTCCTAAAATTATTTCAAAAGAAGAAGAGAATTAGAAAAAAAAAAAAGACCAAATGACATTTTGGTGATATAAAATTACTTTTGCATAACATTTTCCTCTCACTGCTTAAGAGGAAGCAACTTAAAACTTTAGCAAAATATTACAATATTATTAGCAAACTCTTTTAATGGCATAGAGAAGAAGAAAGGTGAGTGACCCTCAGGAAATTACAAACTGGACCTCGACTATGATTAAGAAATACCATACGGTTGACAGCCTCTTTAAGTGGATTTGTTAATAACTGAAATAGAAGACAGTTTTCATTCTGTACTAATACTCAGTATTGATTTCAACCTTAACTAACAATTGGGTAATAAAAGGACAAATGATTACAGTAAAGAGTAAGTAACTTTGATTTCTACAAAGAATTCTGAATATGGAGTCTTGCATAACCCTGCAAACTGCTTTATATATATATATATTTTTCAAATGCAAAATAAAGCTCCCTGAGTTATGTAATTGCTATTCTTCAAAAGGACATCATGAAGGTTGACAATTTAAAATGTACTCTTCCTGTCACCATCCAATTTTTTTAAATGTCTACTGCTGGTGTTAAAAACAATCTCCGCAGAAGAGGGCTGCCATTGCCAATTTAGGACACTGGCTTTGTTATTAGCGTAGGCATATTAGATCATCCTTTTGCTCTTCCTGCCTGCTTTGTTCTTTTGATATGGCAGGGAACTGAAATTGACAACAGCCTACATTTATATAACAATAACTTGCATTGTTAAATATATATGTGTAGATAGACAGAGAGTTCTTTTATTCCCCAAAGATATCAAAGTTCACTACACACCATGAAAAAACCCACAGAAATATGCAGATGCTTCTGGGGTGAACCATGGCAACTATTTAAAAGCATAAAGTATTGACAGCCTTAGGATTCTGGAATAGTTCATAGTCATTTTTAATTTTTGAAATTTTTCCCCCTTTAGAAAATTTCTGTTTTCTTCTGGAGGAAGAAAAGGATAAAGGTCACACTTTGCTACCTGTGTGATAAACCAGAAGCAGTTTAGG